CCGCGCCCGGTGCGCGCGCTCGCCTCCCCGCCTCGGCCGAGGCAGCCCCTGGACCTCGGGCTGAGTCACAGTCTCCCGCGCCAGCTCCATCTCCGCCCTCTCGGGGCTTCGGGCCGCCCACCGCCGACGCCGAGCGGGGGATGGCGGGTAGCAAGTGTGGGCTCAGGGATCGGGGCCTCGGGACCTACCCACCACCCGCCTGGGCGCGCGACTCCAGGGCCACCGCCTAGGCGCGCGACCCCCGCGCCCCGGGGCGGCGCGGAGCCTCTGCTCCTTATTGGAGTTTCTCGGGTTTCAGGTTAACCCCTAGAGGCACAGATTTCAAAAAACAGGATTTGTGTGCTTCAGGACCGAAGCACCACTCTAAAGGCTTTCTTTCGGTGATGCTTGTTTCTTGGCGCGTTTGTAAGCCACCCGGGACCAGGAACGCGCTCCCCGTGTCTCCGCCTGAGTTTCCAGCTCAGCAGCACAGTCGTGAACGTTAGGCAGCTCCTCTCCGAGCCAGTCCCCTTCCACCTCCGCAACCTCCCTGCCCAGGCCAGGCGGGCTGCGGGGCGCTCGGGAGGGCGGCCCCCCGGAGGCACAAGGACGGCTCAAGGTCAGAACCACCGGGAGACAAAGTCGCAGTCCCTGGAAGGCTGGTGGGAGAAGGTGGGGAAGGGAAGCTCACCTATTGAGTTCCTATGGTTACAGTGCCCGCTCAAGCTAGCTGCAGGGAGAGAGAAAAGGCCCCTTCTTGAAACTGAGTGTCTGGGTTAGGGTGGGCTTCGCGCCGTTCAGGGAGGACCCTGATTCTCCTCCAGGCCTCTCGGTTCTTGCTCCCTGCCAGCGCCGCCATCCACCCCACCCGTGTCCTTTGTGAATGCAGGAGCTGTCCACGTGTGCCCGGGACCAGCCGGACCCCTGCAGTCCTTGCTCATGTCGTTCCTGGCTTCCAGCTAGGTCGGCCCCAGCCTTGGAGGAGACATTTTGTTTTTATTCTGTCTCTGGAAAGAGAGCTGGGGATCTGGCGTCCTTTTGCCCTGCGGATGCATGGGGTCCCCATTTCAGGGCCAGCTCGGCCTGCGGGGCCTAACCGGGACACGCGCAGGTACCCGGTGCGGCCCGTTGCCCATAGAAGGATCGCTCACGGCCACTACCCGCACCGCATTCCTGCCCGGCAGTCCGGCCAATGGCGATCGCGCACGGGCTTTGTGACACAGTCCCTGCAGCCCGGAAGTGGGACGTTCGCAGGAAGAGCGCCACGGCCCTCAGGATCACTCCTCCACCTTGCACAAGTCCAGGGTCTCCGTGACTAATGTTTCTGTAGCTGCGAATCGAGTATAGGTTTTTTTTTCGCCTTCCTGTTTTTTGTTCTTTTTTTTTGTTTTGTTTTTTTTTGTTTTTTTTTCTTCCAGACAAGGATCTCTTTTGCCCAGGCTGGTCTCCAATTCCTGGGCTCAAGCGATCCTCTTGCCTCAGCGTCCGGAGTACCTTGGCTTTTGTTTTTGCATTCCTGACATCAGGGGAGTTATTTGAACATTTTGTCAACCTGATTATGCAGCCTTGAAGAATAACGATAATACTGACAAGAATAAAGATGGAGTTATTTATTGGAAAGATGTGCATAGCCAGGCGTGGTGGCGCACGCCTGTAATCCCAGCACTCGGGAGGCTGAGGCAGGAGGATCCTTGCAAGTCCGAGACCAGCCTGGGCTACAAAGTGAGCTAATGGCCAGCCTGAAGTGCATAGTGAGACCCTGTCTCAAAAAGACAAAAAGAAAAAAAAAGAAGTTCATTTGTTATGTGATCCTATGCCTGGAAAAAAAGGTTGTGAAATTAAAATTTTCTCAAGGTGCGTGGTATTTTGTTGTTTTGTTTGTTTTGTTTTTGTTTTTCTGGTAATGGGCATTGAACTCAGAGATTCTATACCACTGAGCTATATTCCAGCCCTTTAAAAAAATGTGTGGGCTGGGGATTTAGTTCAGTGGCACAGCAGCTGCCTGGCAAGTGCAAGGTTGTGGGTTCAATTCCCGGTACTGGGGGGAAAAAAATTATTTATGCTCGGTGTGGTGGCGCATGCCTGTTATCCCAGCACTCGGGAGGCTGAGGCAGGAAGATCGTGGCAAGTTTGAGGCCAGCCTGGGCTACAAAATGAGCCCAAGGCCAGCCTGCACTGCATAGCGAGAACCTGTCTCAAAAAGACAAAAAATTTTTTGTTTATTATTATTGTTGTTGAGACAGGTTCTCTCTGTGTAGTTCAAACTGGCCTTGAGTTTGTGACAATCCTCCTGGCTTAACCCCCTAAGTGCTGGGATTGCAAGACAGCAATACTATGCCCACCCAGACTCCTTTTTATTTTGCTTTTTTGAGACAGGGTTTCACTTTGCAGTTCAGGCTGGTCTTGAGCTCACTTTGTAGCCCAGGCAGGCCTCAAACTCGCAATGATCCTCCTGCCTCAGCTTCCTGAGTGCTGGGATTACAGGTGTGAGCCACCACGGCCGGCTTCCTTTTTATTTTGAAACAAAGTCTTCATAAATTGCCAAGCAGGACTCAAAATTGTGATCCTCCTGCCTCAGCCTCCCTTGACACTGGGTTTACAGACCTGTACCACTGCACCTGACTAGGTAGTTAGCTTCTATTTTTGCTTGCCTGCATTTTCTCTCTGTATTAAACATTTATACATAATTTATACATAGCTGTACCCCTTGTACTGAACAAAGAATAGGTTGCGTGCCGTGGCTTGTTTTGTAATCTCAGCTAGTCTGGTGGCTGAGGCAGGGACAGCACATGTTTGAGGCCAGCCTGGGCAATTTAGTGAAACCCTGTCTCAAAAATTCAAAAAGGGGAAGGGATATAGCTCAGTGTTAAAACACCTCTAGGCGCAATCTCCAGTATGGATAAACAAAACAGAAAGAAAGAAAAAGAAAAGATAGGAAAGAAGCTGGACATGGTGGCACATGCCTGTAATCTCAGCACTCGGGAAGCTGAGGCAGGGGGATCGTTGCAAGTTTGAGAGTAGCCTGGGCTACAAAGTGAGCTCACGGCCAGCCTGAACTGCAGAGCGAGACCCTGTCTTAAAAAAGACCAAAAAAAAAGAAAAAAAGAAAAAAAAAAGAAAAGATCAAAATGCAAAGGAGACTCCAGGGCTGGGGATAGGACTTAGGGTACAGCCCTGGCCAACCACAAGCCAGGCTGGGTTCCATCCTCAGCGTGGCATATTGCTGATACCCTGACCCCCGATAAACGGGCACACGTCTGAAAGCAGGTGTGCGTGGCTCAGTCCATGCAGGAATGTGGCCAGAACAGCAAGGCGGCGGCATTAGACCCGTCAGCTGTGCTTGGAATTCTGAAGGCTCACTCACCCCAGGCAAGATCTTTCTTTCCTCTTCGCCCTCATTAGCCTCATGAGTTCAGTGCAGGAATGGGAGAAATGTGTTTATTCTGTGGGACAACATGATCGTCACAGGCCTACTGTATAAATTACAGAAAGCTGCAACCAAACTATATTAACTAAGGTGATTTAAACTCCTGGGTCATCCAACACCTTGGTATGGTAGAAACTATTGTTTGGTGAAAAGATGTTAAAACTGCCAAGCCAAGCAAGCTGGCATGGTGGCACACACTTGTAGTCCCAGCACTCGGGAGGCTGAGGCAGGATTGCCCTTAGTTTGAGGTCAGCCTGGGCTACATAAGCAAATTCAATAGGGCTGGGGATTTAGCTCAGCAGCATAGCGCCTGCCCAGCAAGTTCGAGGTCCTGAGTTCGATCCCTATACCAAAAAAATAAACAAACAAACAAGAAACATAAACAAATTCAAGGCCAGGCTGAACTACATAGGTCTCAAAAAAACAAAACAAAACCAAAATTTATTTGTTTTTGTTTTTTTTTTTTTGTCTTTTTGAGACAAGGTCTCACTATGCAGTTCAGGTGGCTTTGAGTTTACTTTGTAGCCCAGGCTGGTCTCAAACTTGCAACAATC